GATTTAATTTTTAGCGATGAAGATCCATTAAGGACCAGTGTTTATCGATGGTATGGTGAATTCAATCGAGGTCGTAGTTCACTTCAAGACGAATTTCGTGTTGGTCATGTTGTTCCGGAAACCATTGATGCTGTACGCAAAGTGATATTTAAAGATCGTCATGGGACCTATAGTGAGATTAAGACCACCTTAGGCATTAGTGGAACCAGCATACATTCAATATTGCATGAACATTTAACTGTCACAAAAATTTGTTCGCGTTGGATCCCACACAATTTCTCAATCGTTCAAAAAAAGCCTCGTGTCGATTGGTCGAAAGAAATGCTTAAAAAATACGATCGCAATGCTTTGAAACACGTCTATGACATAGTGACAGGTGACGAGTCGTAGATTTTTCCATATGAGCCCGAAAGTGAGCAGCAGTCGACTGTATGGGTGTTTCAAGATGAGCCAAATCCAACAAAAGTTGTTCGCGCATGAAGCACTTCCAAGCAAATGGTCGCCTTTTTTTCGGAAAAACTGGACATGTCGCAACCGTACCACTAGAAAAACGCAGAACAGTCAATTTTGAGTGGTACATAATCATTTGTTTGACAGTTGTCTTCAAAGAAATGAGGAAATCCAACCGCCGAAGACGGATCACTCTTTACCACGACAATGCGGGCTCTCGCACATCAGCTCAAACAAGTGCATTTTTGAGCACTTAAAATGTCGATGTGATGGGTCAACCGAATAACTTCTTTTTATTAGCGTAAGTAAACAATAAACTGAGAGGTCAATGATTTTCGACACCTAAAGAATCGGTTGATGCATTCAGAATGCATATTTTGGAGATACCTGAATCAGAGTGGCAAATGTGCTTCGACAATTCTGTGGTCGGTGCTTAAAAACTAATAAGTCGATATTACACATTTTTGGAGAATGGCGCTGGGAAAGTTTGGGACACATGAATAACGATTTTTAGAATCCAAATCGACGATCATTTTAGGACATTTGTTCCTGTAAAAATTAAAAAATATGTAGACATATTTTGTTTTAACTGTTTTATGTTACAAAATTTTAATTATGACGTTTTGTCTTTCGCGGTTACCCTTGTGTTTTTATATTTGTTTTTTTTTTACCCTATTTTTATTACTTCACAACGTATATAGACTTAGATCCTTTTAACTGCCTAAAATATACACTCTTCTAAACGTATCTTAACTAAAAACTCCATTTACATAAAAAATGACTTATGACCTTTTAAGCGCCAGCCACAGAATTGGTTCAAACGCATGCAGAAGTATATAGATCTTCATGAAACATATTTTAAAAAACAATAAAGCGATTTTCGATGATTAATATTTTTTTTTGTTCTCTAATCCCTAAATATAAAAGGTAATCCTCGTAATTGCCTCTCAGTTGCTTATAAAACTTATTTTTTTATCTTATTTGTCATATTTGCTGTCATTTTCTATAACATTGTAATGTCAAGTTTGACCGAAAATAGTTGTTTTTAAAATTTTAATATATTTGTGGTTAAGGCTTTTTTAATTACATACATCTTCGTAAACTTAAGTCAAATATCACGACTCTACTTTTTCTCTTAATTGAAGTTGACGTTTCTATATTAAACGATTTATAAGTAGATATATATTTAAAAATACTTTTTGAGAACGAATATTAGTAATTAATTCGTTTTCATATAAATTTCAACTCTCTAGATGATATGACGTGGTATTTTAAAACATTCGTTAACGATAACATTTTAAATTAAATTAATTTGTATAATATTTACGTTTACCAGGAAATCTTTCAACAAATATCAACAATTTAAAACCCGCCTATGTGAACACACTCGAAAAAAATACCTGTAAAATAAAAATAAGGAAATACCGCTATTAAGAGAGAATACTTCCAGCTAGGAAATTCTAATTGAGTTAATTACTGGTTTTCGTCGTGTTATTCTTCTTCAATATTAATTGCTTTTCCCGCTGGGCTTTCTGTATTTGTATTCGGCGAGCCAAAGTATACTTTTCGCTTCATTTCTCAGGTAGCCCGATTAAGAACTGTCATTAATTAATAAAATGACGTTTCGAGAACCACTCTTCAAAAGACAATCAATTCTTTTGAGATGAAAAGATCTCAAAGAGTTTTTTCTTTGTTTAAGTAATGGAATTATTGGGATTAAACTGTATAACGGTTTTAAAATTTATCCAACTGTATATGACGAATGAAATGGGGATAATATTCAATTAGGAGAACCAGTGATTAGTATATGCGGTTGGCAGTTTTGCTGAACAGGAACAAAAGAAAACCTAATTAAAGCAGTAAAATAAGTTGAAGTTGAACTGGCAGCAATAAACGAAGAGTTAAAGAATATAATACTTTATTGCATTATAACAGATATCTATCGTAAGTCCTATACAATTTTAGCAACTTTTTTAAACACCTGTCTAGGGTGTAGGAAATCTACTGACCATTAAAATTTGATATCTTACATGCTGAGGATGTAAATAATTGTTATATAGCATTTTGAGTACGAAGTTAAAAAAGAAGAGGTTCTTTTTCGAAGTAGTTACTTCATTTTCAGGTATACCTACATATAGTCAATGAATTTTTAGGTATTTAATTAGGTGAAAATTTAACAAATACAAACAATTTAGTAGGTACCTATAGCGACTTCTATTATAAATGTTTTAACAGTAAAATTAACAATTAAATTATAATAATAAAAGGTCTTTATTTTTAAATCCACAAGTCCAGCTGCTCCAAATTACAATTCAAGAGACGCTAAAATGGTGGTTTTCACCTTACGGAGACGTAGCGTAAAAAAACGAGAAATGATTTAACTTGGAACGAAAGACCGAAAGCCAATAGTAGTATTAGGACATTGAATTTTTTGGTTTGTGAAGCATTGGCATTACCTAGGTTAAACAATGTGATGATTTTCAGAAGACTTGATTTTTACTTTTACTATTTATTATTTACAATTCGCTGGTTGAATTTATTTTGCGATATGGTATAATGTGGACTATATGATATTGCACTTCAACCCATTAATGTTAAGTCTGGTAAATTTTATGTTTTTGAATGGTTTTATATATGTGTGTGTCATCAGCAAATTGAAATATTTCACAATTATTTACTTGTCTACCTATATCCATTTTATATAATACAAAATTGTTCCAGAATTGAAACCTCCGATACTCCCTTTGTCATTTATCGAGAGCTTGACATTTTATCAACCACAGACACATAATGACATCGAGTAGAAAGATATGAATTGATCATGATGAGCAAAACCAAAGTTGTGCATCTTCGACAGTAATCCAACATTATCATATCTATTGCCATATCTATTTTATTCATATCAATTATTATATCATCTAATACAAAGCAGTAACGATGCTATGTTTTTTTTACAATTTTATTAACGACTATGGTTAATTCTCAAGATTCACCATCACATCCATCACTTAAAACCGATCTATCTTTTAATAGCTAAAAGCTTCTCTGAGGGTCGTTATATGACATTTATTGGCTCACGTGTACTATAAGATCAATCGGTTTTGGTCACCGCATCTTCATATTCATAATATTTTCTCCTATTTGATTCTCTTTTTATATTTGGTACCTTTTTTCCCAGTACCCCGCCTAAGTTGATGCTTGATATTAACCATTTGAAGGGTCCAGGCTAAGAAGGGGAATATTAAAATAAAGAAATTTTCAGTAGAGCGATTTTAAAATTTAAAACCCCATTACTTTTTATGCCCATAACGCCAACTGAATTTTTTAATATTATTGATAATAAAATGTTGTTCAGATTTAAATTGTATAACCTTTTAACAAAAATGTCTGCCCATTTTTTGTATAAAAGGCTTTTAGCTAGACAAATGCATTACGTAACTTACAAAGAAGGGGGAATGTCATAGTATTTTAAGTGTATTTTTTTAGTAGGATAAAGAAATTATAGTTTATTACCAAAAATACACTATATTATATTGTCAAATATACACTTTTGTAATTGTGTCAATGGCCTTTGTTGTCGAGGCACGTTAAATTTAAATTAAAAAAATATATACACTAAATATTGACAAAAAAAACAAATCAGAATATATTATTTTTCATGCTTTCTTTTTGTGCCTCTTGTAGCTTATGGCTTTTGCTGAGTTTTTTTAACTTCTTTTTTAGTAGAAGGTCTTGATATTTATCATAATTTACATTACATTACATTACATCGAATGCAGTAGTAAAATATACCTTCGTATAAATTGCCTGGTAATTAAAACTCATGGGGAGGTAATTTTTTCTGCTTTTTCTTTGCATCAACCAAAATTGCGCTTTCCCATGTCTATTTCACGTTGAGCGATGGTAAAAAAGCCTAGGATGATCTTTTACTACCTTGAATTCACGGATGGGGCGCGTCTTTAGTGGACAACTTCGTTTGAATAATGTAGAAAGATGGGTACTCCAGCATTTAAATAAATCATAACATCAAAATGCATTGGTTTTACTCTAGCGGCTTTGAAAACATCAGTTTATTCACTAGGAAGTTCTACATGAGTCCTTTGCTTTATCAATTTAAAATCTTTGTCACTTTCCATAAAAGAATGACCTCTAATTGGAAAGCTAATCTGCACAAAGTAGAACCTCGTTGGGCAGAAAATTGTAGAAAAAATGATGCAGCATAGAACAATCTTCACACTTTCCTTTTGCCCATTTGTTTCGGGATAAGTATAAAAAATGCTCTGGCCAGTTGATAAAGCATGAACGTTAAAGGAATAAATGGATAATTGCCTATTACAATAAACATCATTTGTTGTGATGTTTGGCACTTTGCAAAATCCTTATTGCTTCACAATCGCTATTTGCTCGACTGGATAATATTTCAGCTTTTTTTCTGTCATAAAACACTGCAGCTTTCTTTTTATGATGTTGATTCTTAAGTTGCAGTTATGCTATTTCTCCTTCTATTTTCTCCTTATCTAACGAATTAAGAGCATTTTTTGTTCTAGCTTCTAAAGCCTTTCTTTTTGACAAGTATATATCGCATATACTGCAGGTGTCACTTCTCGGGTAGCCAAATGATACACTTGTGAGAATATAGATATGTAGGTTTCGTACGACACAGTATACTGTTGATCTTTATTAATACCTTTGTACATATTATACATTTTTTTTATATTTATTTCTTCGGACAGGTACATTTCTGTTGAGTCTTTTAAACTGTAATGACTTTGACGCCATTTAAAAGAACTGATATGTTCAAGCACTAACTGTTTAGCATCAGGTTTTAAGTTTTGTGGTCTGTTAAAATGTTTTTCCCGGATACCAGTAGGGGCTTTTCCAGTCATTTTTAATGATTTTTGCAACACTTTAACTATTTTCTTTCTTATACTATACAAAGAAAGGAAAGCCTTATAACAAACAGGTATTTCAGCTACATTTTCATCTGTTATCATTCTAACGCGATAAGAAAATGAACTTTCATGGAATTTAGCAATCGCTTCTTCTTACGTAATCAGCGGTTTTGTACTGCGTAAGTAGTAATCAATCCACACAAATAAATATTTTGTTCGTCTACAGATTTTAATAAATTGAACTCAAGGAGGATTTTTTTTCTTGCTTCAATCAACGTAGTCTTTTGCATTTACAGTCGTTTCCAGTCTCGTGGCTTTGGAGGTTCTTTTTGTTGGCAACATCTGCCACTTTACCAAACCGTTTTATCTTTTTCCCTTGGCCATTAAAACAAAGTCTTCACAGTCATTCTCAGTGTAACTCAAGTTAATTTTTATTGTTTATTACACACTAGAAATGTAACTATTTATAAACAATATGCACAATATGGTAGGTAATTAACATTACCAAAAAAAGCGCATTGTACACTGTAATCACGAGCTTGGTCTAGTATGATGTTATTCGTTATCACTGACACTTCACCTTCTTAGCGTGTAGCGCATAGACATATTGGACATTCCCCCTCATTAGCCTGTATAGCAAAACTTCAATCTATATTATCTCACGACTATGCCCATTTTTGGCCTGTTTTATTTTACTAGGCCATAGAGTTTTTTATTCTCTACCGATTGGCATAAAAATCCAAAAATATTGAAAAAATTGCCCTCCCTTCCTTCTTAGCCTGGACCCTAAATTTATTTTAATTTTTTAGTAATTTCTGGAGTCGTTTCCAAATATTGTAAGCACTTTTACTTTACGTATACTGTTTTATTTATATGAATTATAATTTCTTCTAATTTTAGACCTAATTATGGCTTAATGTCGAAACTGGCAAATATATTTTGTTTTAGAGTTATTTCTTACCTATTTGAGCAGTTGGATAACCCAACTTTAGTTAGATATAACACATTTTTTCTATAGCAAGAGAAAACGAATAATGAAAAATAATTAAAAATTTAATTGCGCCTATAACAGAGAAAATAGAAACACATAGGTAGTTTATTATTAAACGAATTGTTTTCACAAAATTTAATTTATATTTAGCCATACATACCACATCTAGACAAACAAAACCCGTTCTATTTCTGAAAAAGCTGCTTTCATTGTCTTTCTGTCGCTTTAAAACATATCCCCTTTCGACTCACTATTCATCATATATTTCTCATCACCAGGATGTCGCGTCATCGCCACTTCAAACACAACCGATCTCTCATCAGGAATGGCATTGTAAAAGTAATTACAGTGGTGCTAGCGCAATACCAAAACATCAAAGAATACAATATGAACAACATTCATGGTATTAGCGGGTCACAGAAATGTTTCGTTTACCCTTTTCAACTGGAAATATATTTTCTTAGCTTTAAGGTGTTGTTTGGTTTATTATATTACTGAGTAGTGAGTATATTTATGCTTTTTTGGAGATATAAACTATTTATGTATGGAAAATTGTGTTTTTCTTCTGCTATAATACACAACTACATTTTCTTTATTGGTGCTGATTAAGAAATGAGGTACATTTTTTTATTTCATAATTCTGATAACACAAAGTGGTCGTTCCCTAATTATTTTAAGTGTGTCGCATTTAATATGAAGACACCCCTATATTTTGGCTATCTAAATAAATACAGATTTTAAATTTTGCAGTCATACAGGGTGATGGTTCACATTTTTCAAGACACTCAACTAAAATTTAAATTTTAAACGCGGCCTACTGCGAATCCACAAACAGGGTCAATTTTCGATATTTTTCTTCGCGTTAGAGATATCAGAAAAAGGTATTTAAAAGAGTTGTTCCGAATATTATTCTTACCCCACGTACTAAATTTCATGACTTAATTCGCATTTTTAGTTTTTTTATTAGTTTGGTCATTACACAAAAAATTATTAAAAGTTGATTTTTTTTATTCGATAAACTAGTGTGCCAGGATTGACATTAATGATTACACAAGTATTAAATTATTCCTATCCATGGCACACTAGTTTATCGAATAAAATTAATTAACATTTAATAATTTTGTGTATTGACAAAAATAATGAAAAAACTAAAAATGCGAATTTTGTCATGAAATTTGGTATGTGGGGTTAGAATAATATTTTAAACAACTTTTTTAAAAAAAAATTCTGATATCTCCAACGCGAAGAAAAATATCGAAAATTGACCCTGTTTGTGGATTCGCAGTAGGCCGCGTTTAATATTTAAATTTCAGATGAGTATCTTAAAAAATATGAACCATCACCCTGTATTACTGTGCGAAAATTCAAATCTGTATTTATTTAGATAGACACAATATAGGGGTGTCATCTTAAATGCGACACACTGTAAAATCATGTGTGAAATAAAATACCAAACATTAAATATATCTGTATCTGTAATGTGTGGAGCGTGGGTTACCTCCACGGCACTTAGGCCTCATTAGCATCCTGTGCATCCTCCTGAAAAGATAGGCACCTCCTAGCTCGTGAGCCAGCCTACAGATTTAATGTAGTTGACAACGTCGCCAAGAGGTGCTTCTCTTATATCGACCGGTGTTAGCCGATACTCGCCTAACACAAATCTTCTAATAAATGAGCGTCGAGCAATCGTTAAGGATATGCTCGATGGTCTCATCTTCTTGTTTGCACCCTCTGCAGAGTGCTGCTATTATATGGAGATGCTTTCGTACTTGGCAATAACCAGTCAGACTGCATGTGACTAGGCGCATATTCTGTCTAGTCATAGTCAAGTATTTGTTTGCTGCAGTGTTGTCAGGATAACTTAAGAGCTCCCTGGCAACTCTGCAGTTTCTTGTTTCATCCCATCTTATCTTGAATTTCACAAGGGAATGTTCTTTGATTAGGTCTGACACTACTGATTTTGTCAGACCATTAGAAGGGCCAGGTCCAAAAAGTATTTGGTTGGCTGCTTTCTTGGCTACTTAATCAGAAAGACGGTTACCTTTCGATGTGGCGTGACCTTTAATCTATCTTAAGGTGACCAAGTTGTTGATGGATACTTCGGCCAAAGCTTCATGACATTCTAGTACTAACCCTGAATAAATTCGTGGTCTGTTCAGGGTAAGTAGTGCTTGTCTACTATCTGTATAGATAAGCATATTCCTTCCAGTAATATTGTTTCTGGTTATTTCTTTTGCTGCTATATCCCCGTTAGCTCTGTTTGAACTACACTGGCACTATTGCTCACAGCCCATTTTATGTTTAGGTTTTGGAATCTGTAGTATATTCCACATCCTGAGCCTTGTTTTGTTTTAAAACCGTCGGTGTAAATATGAATCGTACCTGCTACTTCTGGCTCTTCTATTTGTTCTTTTATAACTTTATATGGCTTATGAAAGATATATTTTGGTGAGATGGAGTCCATGTTCGCTTGAAGCAGTGGGAGCGTATCCAGCGCCTCCTGGCAAAAGTGACGTCTTGCCTCACCAGATCCTACATCAGGTACTTCCGACCGTACGGAGGCGTGTCATTGTCGTCAGAGTAATATCCTTGATGGGACTAAGAATGACTTTCATGGCTCTAGTCGGTGTTGTTTTCATGGCTCCTGTTATGTTGAGACATGCTGTTCTTTGAATTTGTTCTAATTTACGGATAGCTGTTAATTTTTGGGTTTTCTGTATCCAGACAACTGCATCGTATGTTAGCATAGGTCTTATGATAGCCGTGTAAGTCCATGCGACGACTCTGGGGGAGAAACCCTAGGTGCACCTCATGGTTCCGCGGCATTGTTTATAAGCAATGTATGCTCTTCTAACTCTGTTTTCTAAATGCGAGTTCCATGGTAACTTGCTGTCAAAGGTAAGACCTAGGTACATCACCTTTGTTGCAAAGTTTAGTTTTGTGTTTAGGAGTTCTGGAGGTTTTAATTCTATTTTCAACCTTTTCCTCGTGAAAAGGACCATTTATGTCTTCTTAGGATTGATAGACATTGAATGGCCCTTAGATTAGATTAGATTAGGAGTTGGACGTTATTTGTCCTTGTCCACCGCGACCTTTTCAGATCTATTGTGGGACTCCGTTTGTTTTAGAGTATGTCGTCTAGCCTGGTCTTTTTTATTAGACTTAGTAGCTTTGACAGTGGCTCCCGCATGTAGTTGCATGCAATTGGCTTTTCTTCGCCCAATGTTAGAAACCTCATACCAGCCAAGCCTTCACATTGGCACAGGACGTGGAATGATGTTTCCTCTTCTTCTTCACAGAACCTGCACAAAGTTGCTTCTTCTGCTGGATTTATGACACTCATGTGCCTTTTGAGGCGACAGTGTCCAGTAAGAAGGCCTACTGTTATCCTAACGATTTGACGTTTTTGATCCAGTAAGTCTTTCGTAAACTTGGCCGATGGTTCCTTGATGAACTGTTTGGCCTGTCTCAGTCTTGGATAGTTGTTCCACCATTCCTGAGACTCTTTTTGCATCCATTGTTTAATGGATGCCTTGCACAATGCCTTAGCGACTCCACAAAAGGGTTCCGGGCCTGTCATGGCCTTATCTGAGCCTTCTCGGGCTAATTCGTCGGCCTTTTCGTTGCCCTGATATCCCTCATGGCCTGGAACCCAGGCTAAGGCCCTTGCACCACTGTTCTATAATTTTTAGAGCTACTTGCATTCTTTCGCAGAGTATGTTCTCAAAATTCCCTGTTTGAAGAATGACCAGGTCATCCGCATATGCTATTGTGTAGTGACTGTCATTATTGAGGCGGCTGATAAGGGTGTCGACGACCATATTTCACAGTAGAGGTGATAGCACCCCCCCGCCCCTGTGAACATCCCCTCGCAACCAAGCTCGCGTTTAGAGCATGTTATGTAACCACCCACTAACTATTTGTGGAACATTCCTATTGGTTAGTGAGTGTATTATCTTTGAGAAGGTGGTTTTATTAAAAGCATCTTCTATGTCTATGAAAACACCCAAGGCGGACTCCTTATTGTTCAGGGATCTTCCTATCCGGCCAGCAACTAGATGAAGGGCTGAATTAGTAAATCTGCCTGGGGTGTATGCATGTTGGTTTGGGT